ATTGTGATAAGAGCTGTAAGAATCCCGAAAAAGTTATTTTAAAAAATTAAAATAAATAAATACATGTGAAGATAACCCTTTACTTGAAAAAAGAAAGAAAAATGTCAATGTCATGAAACATTTGTACAAACATGTTAAGTGGGAACCTAACTTGTGTTGTAAACTTTCACCAAGAACACAATAAACTTGAAACCAAAAATAGACAGCTGTATGGGGAACCCAATAAGACATGTGAGCCCATGACATGCCAGCTCTGCTATGAGTCGGACATCGTGTCATGATAAGCTGTATGTATTTTTCCTTCATACAGCCAAACACCAGGCCTACCGGTTTCTCTCCTCTGCTCCCTATGACCAGAACCATGGTAGGCCACTGGAGCCCTCTTTGGTGGTAGCAGGAGAGTCCACCAGCCTGTGCTTACTAGCCAGCATAATAGCAGAGGACAAGGCAGCAGCAATCCTACTACCCTAGAGTTTTCAGAACTAAAGGAGCCCTGAGGGTAAAGTGGTTAAGAACTCATCTGCTTACTAAAAGTTGGCAGTTTAAACCTACCAGCTATTCCACAGGAGAAAGATGCAGCAGGATGCTTTTGTAAAACGGTGTCAATGGAAACTCTGTGGATGAATTACCTAGACAATACGGTTAACATTCTTCCCTTTACCTTAGCTAAGTAGCTAAGGTAAATGAAGAATGATGAAGTCAAAGAGAACAGGTAGAAAAGGGCAGGTAGAAAATCAAAAAGGAAGAACATGCATAACTTATCTGAAACTGACAGAACTCAATAAAAAAGGCAAGCCTCAAGTTGAAAGATTCTATGGGCTAAATATAGAAGGATGCAGGGAACATCAAAAGAAGTTGGAAGGTATACACAGAGTCACGCATGGTACCACAAAGAACTAGTCAACATTCAACCATTTCAAGAGGTAGCATATGATCAAGAACCAATGGTACTGAAGGAAGAAGTCTAAGCTGCACTCTAACCATTAGCCAAAACCCAAACTCCAGGAATCAAGGTATACCAATTGAAATGTTTTAACAAGCTGGTGAAGCACGAACTTGTCTATGCCAGGAAATTTGGAAGACAGTTAGTTGGCCGATTGACTGGAAGAGCTGCATACTTGTATCCATTCCAAAGAAAGGTGACTCAGGAGGATGCTCAAATTATAGAAAAATATAGTTAATATCAGGTGCAAGTAAAATTTTGCTCAAAATCATCCAACAGTGGCTGCAGCACTACACTGGCAGGGAGCTGCCAGAGGTTCAGGCTAAGTTCAGAGGAGGATGTGGAACAATGGATATCATTGCTAATATCAGATCTTGGCTAAAAAGTCAACCAGAAAGTTGTTTACTTGTGTTTCATAGACTATGCCACAGCATTCAACTGTTTGTATCACAACCAACTATGAATAGCTTTCAAAAGAATAAGTATTCCAGAACAGGTCATTGTGCTCATGGGGAACCTGTACATGAATCAAGAGGCAGGTGTACCAAACAAACCAAAAACCTAACTCACTGCCGTCATGAAGATGCCAACTAAGAAGACAGTGTAGAACTGCCCTGTGAGTTTCTGAGAATGTACCTTTTTACAGGAGTAGCAAGTCCCATCTCCCCGAGGATCGGCTGGTGTTTTTGAACTGTTCAGCTTGCAGTTCGCAGCCCAGTTGTGGTAATTACATAATTTGGTGTCGACTTGAGACTTAAAAATACTGGGGTGGAGTTTAGCCTGTCAATCAGGTCACAGCTTGATAACCTCATTTGGAGGCGCTAAGGAGATAAATAGCTCACTGGAGGCAGGACGCAGGCTCACTCAGAATGTCAACAGACATTCCTGTTGACAAGCCACATGGAGCTATGCTAATAAAGAGTCAGAGCCCTGGAGCTGGAAGAGCCATGTGGAGACCCACGCCAGCACTGAGATGCTTCCACCACCACTGGGTCCACAAGACTTTCTGCCCACTGACCTGTGATCTGCCTGCACTCGGCATCATTGCATGGCTGCATGAGTCTAAAGAGGAATTTATGGACTAGTATCGGCATATGGGCTAATTTCGGACTTATGGGCTAGATCTGGACGGGGCTGGGATGTTTTCTTAATGTACAGTTCCTCTTTGTATAAAGTTCTCTATTACACACCTGTGAGTGTTAATGAATTTGTTTCTCCAGTCCACCCAGACTAACACACCAGCGTATACTCTATGCCACCAGAGCTTCTGGTTGTACAAATGGAGTGGTTTAAATCAGGAAAAATGTTTGTCTGCGTTGTATCCTCTCTCCATACTTACTCAATCTGTATGCTGAGCAAATAACCAGAGAAGCTGGACTATACGAAAAAGAGTGCAGTATCAGGATTAGAGGAAGGCTTACTAACATCCTGCAATATGCAGATGATACCATCTTGCTGAAAGTGAGGATGACTTAAGCGCTTGCTGATAAAAATCAAAGATTGCAAGCCTTTGGTTTGGATTATAATTCAGTGTAAAGAAGAGAAAAACCTTTACAACTGGACCAATAGGTAACATCATGATAAACAGAAAAAAGATTGAGGTCGTCATGGGTTGGATGGATCTTGCTTGGATCCACAATCCATGTTCATGGAAGTAGCAGTGAAGAGATCAAAAAGCGTGTTGCATTAAGTAAATATGCAGCACGAAACCTCTTCAACGTATTGAAAAGCAAGGCTGTTACTTTGGTGACTGAGGTGTGCCTGACCCAAACTAGAATATTTTCTGTTGCCTCCTATGCATGTGAAATTTGGACATGGAATAAGGAAGTCTGAAGAAACCATGCATTTTAATTATGATGCTGGTGAAGAATACTGCAATTACTATGAACTAAAAGAAATACCTCTGCCTTGGAAGTATAGCCCGAATGTGCCGTAGAGGCAAGGATGATGAGACTTCGTCTCTTATGCTTTGGACATGTTATCAAGAGAGATCAGTCCCTGGAGAAGGACATCATGCTGTGTAATGTGGAGCGGCAATGAGAAATGGGGAGGGTCCAAGTTGTGCTCCTTGGTTGCAATAGTAGAAAGAAAAGTTCTGTGATAGGTCTTTAGGTGTACTAATTAGAAGTCAATGGTCCCATTACTAGGCCACCGGAGATCCCCTTGCAGAGGGATCTCCGGGAGGAGACGAGCCAGTCAGGGTGCGATGTAGCAACGATGAAAAATGCAACTTTCCTCTAGTTCCTAAATGCTTCCTCCCCGCCCCCACTATCATGATCCGAATTCTACCTTGCAAGTCTGGCTAGACCAGAGGATGTACACTGGTACAATAGGAACTGGAAATCCAGGGAATCCAGGGTGGATGATCCCTATAAGACCAGTGGTGTGAGTGGTGAAACAGGGAGGGTAGAGGGAGAGTGGATAGGAAAGAGGGAACCGATTACAAGGAACTATATGTGAACTCCTCCCTGGGGGACGGACAACCGAAAAGTGGGTGAAGGGAGACGTCGGACAGAGCAAGATATGACAAAATAACAATTTATAAATTATCAAGGGCTCATGAGGGAGAGGGGAGCAGGGAGGGAGGGGAAAATGAGGACCTAATGCCGGAGACTTAAGTGGAGAGGAAATGTTTTGAGAATGATGAGGGCAATGAATGTACAAATGCGCTTTACATAATTGATGTGTGTATGGATTGTGAAAGCAGCAACAACAAACCAACAACAACAAAAAATAATCCATCTTCTCTGATGATTTGCTCAGCATACAGATTGAGCAAATATGGAGAGAGGATACAACCCTGATGCACACTGTTCCTGATTTTAAACCATGTAGTATGTCCTTGTTATGTTTGTACAATTGCCTCTTTATCCATGTACAAGTTCCTCATGAGCACAACGAGGTGTTCTGGAATTCCTGTTCTTTTCAAGGTTATCTAAGGTTCGTTATGATACATGCAACCAAATCCCGTGGCATAGTCAATAAACTACAGTTAAACATCAAAAAAAAAACAACTAATGGTTATGAGTTATTGGATGGTAGTGCCTACCACATACATCAGATTCCACCAACCTCTCTCTGACGGCAGAGGCTTTGACACTCTCCAGGGACTTCATTCGGGGCTTGGCAAGGCCTTAGAATATAGAGGAAGCCAGAGGCAGGGAGGTGAATTTGGCACCTTACAGCCTGTCCTTCAGTTTGTTCAGGTTTGTACTTCACTGTCTGTAAAAACAACTTTGTTGTTGTTGTTGAATTGGGATATGTTTTGCATGTAAAGTCTCAACAACAACAAAGTAAATTTTCAAATATTTTAAAGATCCTAATACTGTATATACCTTTTAACTTAGAAATTTTTTTACTAATAACTAAGTTTAAACAAAGATTGTTATAAATACATATTCATAACAATATAGGTTACAGTGACAAAATTATAGAAATAATGTTTCCAACAAGAGGGGAGAGTTAAATAAACTGGAACACATTGCACTAATACAGACAGTTCACTCACTGCCATTGAGTCAGTTCCAACTCAGTGCTGACCGTACAGGACAGACTGCCCCTGTGGGTTTCTGAGACTGTAACTCTTTACAGAAGTAAAAAGCCATGTCTTCCTCTTATGGCGTGACTGGTGGTTTTGAACTGTTGACCTTGCAGTTAGCAGCCCAACACACCACTGGGGCTTTAGGTCCCTATTTATTGATTTGGAAAGTAGATGTTCCCTACAGGCCAAACAAGAAAAGTAGATTACAAGAAGGTAAATGTATGATTCCATTGAAAAAGCAATTTGTGTTTACAAAAAAATCTATGAAGAGATATATACGCATAAGTTATCTTGAGGTGGTAAGAATATAGGTGACTTTTTTATTCTAAAATGTCTCTATTATGAAAGTAGATTAATAGAGGGACCTTTTGCCAGGGAGAGGTAGGGTAACAGGAGACCTTTGTATGAAACCAGTGGTCTTCGGCAGAACGGAGAGCCAGGCTAACTCCTCCCTTGTTCTTGCAGGCTGACCAAAGTGGTCCGTAGAAGCCTCATTGATCTGGGGCGAGCTATCAAAGGGCAGGTCCTGATGTCCTCGGAACTGGAAGATGTCTTCAATAGCATGCTTGTGGGTAAAGTGCCCGCCATGTGGGTAGCCAAGTCCTACCCGTCACTGAAGCCCCTGGGGGGTTACGTGACTGACCTGCTGGCCCGCCTGACCTTCTTCCAGGTATTTGGGATAACTCGGACTCATTCAGGCAGGGAGGACATTCTGAAATGACAGTTTATAGAGAGCTGGAGAGGGGAAAAGTAGGCATCCCTGCAGCATCCTGGATTGGATCAAGTGAAAACATTCTTCCCAGAGCTGGAACAGGAGGGGTGTTTTCACAGACCCATGGAGGAACTAGAATAGATGTCACGAAGTTGTGGCTGATTGTCCAAATTGGTTAGTAGATATGTTTGGCTTGGGTGTGGCTGCTTGGTAATTTAAACATTTTTTCAGCCAGGATATAAACACTGGGTTATGACTCATAAAAATGCAAGTGTTCGCCCTGCGAAAAGAAAGCAAGCCCTGAAACAAACGCTATGCATTCTTGCACAGTAACAATCTTCTAGAGGCGCAGCTGCTGCTCCGTTCAGACAGAGCACATATTCTCGGCTGCCTCAGGCCCCTCCCCTCTCCATTGTGTCCCTGACACCAGCCTTACTTGTGCCTTCTTTTAAAGTTGAAGTAGTTCTCTCTGTACCTTCAACTCTATCAAAAGTGGGGAAACATACGCGACACGGTCTCATTCAAGAAAAATCAAGAAGAGTGTATTTCTGTATGGAACTAAAATGTGACCTGCTCTTGGATGTTTTGCTGGTTCTGAATGTCTCTTTCCATGGCTTCTAGGATTGGATTGACAAGGGGCCCCCTGCAGTCTTTTGGATCTCAGGATTCTACTTCACACAGTCCTTTTTGACTGGAGTCTCCCAGAATTATGCCCGGAAATACACCATCCCCATTGACCACATCGGATTTGAATTTGAGGTAGGGGTCCTTTGGGTCCAGCTCAAGGGGCTAGCCTGAGGAAGCAGTGTTACTCATGTCTTAGTGAGTGCAAGCATTTCACTGTGCTGAGGCGCAAATGCTGCTGAAGTGGCACAAATGAAGTAAATCCTTGACTGACAGTAGCTGAGATGTATTCTCAGTAGAAATGCAGACCCTCCAAGGCGTTGTCTCTGTGTACATTAAAAAGAACCTTTCCAGAGACAAATGTTGCCATGATCATAACCCGAGAAAATTGAAAACCTCCTCCTAGGCTCTCTGTTCAACATGGAACTATTCATTTGGAAGACGCTTAATGCCCTCAGGTAGTCCTCTCCGTGGAGTAAAGCCACAGGGACAACCAGTAGTCAAGTATCTCCCTATCCATAGCTGAAGAGGAACAGGGAGAGGGATTCCTACAGGGCACCGTAGATTTTTCAATTCTATGGCAAATGCCAAGCTCAGAAGTTACCAACTGGCTGCTCGCTAGATCATGAATGAACTTGCTTGGCCTTTGAAACAATGGTAAGCCAAAATGTGTGCAATGAGAAAACGAAATAGTTGATACACACCGAGGGACAAGATAAAACCAGCTTTCTGATTCTGAAATGACTAGAAAACCCAAAAGATTCTAAAATCATACCTCTGAGAATAAGAAGAATCCATTAAGGTAACTGGAGCCTGGCTAACTGAAAAATGAATAGTCATTTTTCCTGTTGTAGACATTAAGATTTAGAAGTAGAAATGGGAGCATCATTCTGGTCTTCATAAAATATTAGAAATGGAATTTTTTAAATGGCACATAGGATTCCTAATTCACCACGGTCCCCACTACTCCCGGTTTTCCTATACCTACATCATTTTCTAGGAGCACTGGTGGCACAGAGATTAAAGTGCTCTGCTGGGAGCCACAAAAGGTGAGCAGTTTGAACCTAAAGCCCGTGTGAGAGATGACAGTGTACGGAGATTTAAAGCCTTGGACACTTTATGGGAAAGTTCTACTCTGTCCTCCAGGGTCAATAGCAGTCACACTTACCCATCTTGCCCTGAATACAACCGCTCACTTTATAAAGACAGGTCCAGAAGAGGGAGGGATTGTGCAAGGGCACTAAGCTAGTTATAACAAATGTGGTCTTCTACCTCCTACTTCATTCAGTGTTCACTCTTTTAAAAAAAATAATTTTATTGGGGGCTCGTACAACTCTTACCACAATCCATACTCCATCCATTATGTCGAGCACATTTGTGCATTTGTTGCCCTCATCATTCTCAGAACATTTTCTTTCTACTTGAGCCCTTGGTATCAGCTCATTTTCCCCGCCCTCCCCACTGCCCCCTCCCTCATGAACCCTTGATAATTTATAAATTATTGTTATTTTGTCATGTCTTACACCTCCCTTCACCTACTTTTCTGTTGTCCGTCCCCCAGGGAGGAGGTTATATGCAGATCCTTGTGATTGGGTCCCTCTTTCTCCCCAACTCTAGTGTTCACTCTTTTGTCTCACTCAAGGCGGCATACTGACAAATCAGGCCAGCCTATGTGTCACAGGCAAGGTTTTATCACAGAAGCTCCAGGGCCCTGGGAGATGCCTCCTAATAGACACACATATTGCAGCCCGGTTGCAATTTAGGTAGCAGCTTGCAATCTCTTAATGTGTCTCCATTTAGGGAAATTGGGTGTGGTGGAACTCATAGCTTTCCACTCTTCCAGGTGACCAGGCAAGAAACTACCATAGAGGATAATCCAGAAGATGGGGCCTACATAAAAGGGCTCTTTTTAGAAGGTGGACGTTGGGACAGGACAACAATGCAGATTGGGGAATCTCTCCCCAAAATCCTCTGGGACCCGCTGCCCATCATTTGGCTGAAACCTGGGGACAGTGCCTTGTTTCTGCATCAGAACATTTACGTGTGTCCAGTCTACAAAACCAGTGCCCGGAGGGGAATCCTGTCCACCACAGGCCACTCCACCAATTATGTTCTCTCCATTGAGCTCCCCACAGACAGGGCCCAGAAGCACTGGATAAATCGGGGGGTGGCCTCCTTATGCCAGCTGGATGACTGATGGCATCTCTCTCCATCAGAAAATAAAATGCACTTCCTTCTTGACTACATCTGAGCTTCCTTTCTCGATACTCGCATGAGACACGATGATGATGTTGATATTAATATAGCACTTGCTCTGAGTCAAGTATTTCAGAACACTGTTAAGCCTTCCTTTCATTTGATGACTGCAGGCACCATGCTACAGGAAACCATTCCCCAAGTCGGACAGCTATGAAACAATCACTCCCACTCATTCTCACCAAGTCAACCGAGTGTTACCAGAGTCTCGATTTTAGCACAGTGGGATTTAGCAGCCAGGACTTGCTATTTGACAAGATAGGGAAGATATGCTTTTTCCTATTCTTTTGCTATAATTGCTGTCGGAAGTCAATGCCTTCTTTTCTAGTTGATCCAGAGAGGCTAAAAGCAGGGCCTCTCAGAGCTTGAAAGAGGTTTCAAGCACGTTTTGTTTCCAAGGCTTTGGGTATGTTGACAATACGCTTCTCACAACTAAGAGCCTGTGAGGACACTTCAGGTTATGCATCAAGTGGGTTGGCCACAGGTCTGTGGTTGAAACACATCAGCCACTGCTCAGGGGAAAGACGAGTCTCTCTGCCCACCTGAAGATTTAAAATCCTCATTTAAATTGTCTCCGGTTTCCAAAGGGGAATTCTCCGTCTATAGGGTCGCTGTGAGTCAGAATGAACTCGATGGTGATGGGTTCAGTGGGCTCTAAAACAGTCTCACACAGCAGGTGTTGATTTTAGTTTTTAAGGCCTTTGACATTTTAAAAATACACTTTTTAAACCAGTCTTCGAGGAGAGGTGATTTTTTTTTTTTGCTTTTTTTTTTTTTTTTAGTGAGTGAGTGAGGCAGTGAGAGTGAGAATGAGGCAGTGAGTGAGACAGTAAGTGAGGCAGTGAGACAGTGAGAGAGTCGGAGAGGTGCTTTCATGATTGCAATTGTATGAATGTCAGAAGTCAGTCCACAGCTAGTCAGTGATAGAACTGGACCCAGTAATTGTTGTAAAACTACTGTATGCTCCTGACCCAAAGTCTTGCACTTGTCCTGGATGCTGGAAGCTGCCCAGAATTAAATATACATATTCCAGAAATACTCCATTTCTTTATGGGACAATGGTGTGCCAAATGCTGACTCCCAAAGGAAGGAAAAACCCCCTCACTGCTATGGCATCGTTCATTCTGACTCTACACGACAGGATAGGGCTGCCCTGGGGCTTTCAGAGACTAACTCTTTATGGGAGTAGAAAGCCTCATCTATCTCAGAATGGATGGTGGTTTTAGACCTTGAGTTAGTAGCCCAAGGCACAAGTACTAAGCCCACAGGGCTGACTAAAGACTCCAAATGCTAAGACAGGCAAATGATCTAAGTGACCAGACCTTAGAAATATGCGCACAACAGCAGTTCTCCAAGTTCTGCCCAGGCCTAGAGAGACCATGAGGAATTGGTCTCCTTCAGCTCACAGTAGCCAGATAGCCTTCTTCTAACTTTTGTCTGCGTGCGTGTGTGCATGTGTGTGTGTGTAAATCCAAAACAGAGTTTGGGACTGTTATATTCCAAATACTACTGTTAATCACATGGGATGTAAAGATGATTAGCAGTCCAAGTCCCTGAATCTTGGACTGGTAGGTAAGTCACATTGCAGGTTGTAAAAGAGCAGGCAGTGAGGGGTTTCCAAAAGAACAATTGGGATTTAATGTGTCATCTAACTCCAGCTTCAGCAACAAGCAAATGGAGGGAGGGACTGATTGTCTCATTCCTCAGGGGTCAAGGGACAGAATGTTTCTGTGTGATGGATTACATTTTGTAATTTAAAAAATGTCCTCCTCTCTGAAAAGAGAAATTGCCTCAAGTTTGAGGTCACTTTTTATTGGGCTAATGTAGTAATGGGCCCCCATGGAAAGAGCAGTGTGTTCTTCAGACACTGTGTTGAGTTAGAGGTTGGAGCCCTGGGGTAGGGATGGCCAGGGATCAGCTCAGTGACAAACTGCAGACTGTGCCTATAAATAGCTCGGCAGATGACATCAGAAAACTTTTGTCACCAAGCTAGTCCTTGCTCTTTAAAAATCTGGCTTTGGGATAAACAATTATGATTCAGTTCTTGTCGGCGCACGGTGAAAATTACGTTGAAGGAGAGAATTGTCGGGAAGGTAAGTTGTGCCTTTATCAGATTGAAGGTGTAGACTTTGTAATTTGGGAGAGAAAAAGAAGAAAAAAATCCTATCATAAACAAAGCATAGGTTTGGTAGTAAATTGTTAATTATGCTTTTGTGTAACAGTATTGTATGTCTTTGCAGACTAGGTTGGACATATGAAATTCACACGTAGGCGAGATTCCTGACGCATGGAAGCGTAGCTGCCAATCATGGATGAGTTTCATCCTGAAGGTTGGGTAGGGGAGGGTTACTGCTAAATTCAGCTGAGTAAGATGAAAATTGCATGCAAGCACAATCACTTTGAATTATTCAAAAGGGACCACAACAGACAAAGGCCTATCCTGTCTTACTGCCTAACAGCCAGTTTTTCTACCAACACCGGACACACTGCTGCCTTTTTGGCTGACCACCAGACGAAGTAGTTGGCTTGAGTTCACAGGCCCTATGTTACACGAGAAATATTTAAACATCAGACTCACCTCAGGGCAGGGAAATGCTTCCACGATGAGAGCCGTTGGAAGGAGAGGGACCCATGGAACAGCAGATTCAAGTTTCTGAATACCAGTTAGCCTAGTGCACGGGAATGTCCTGAGTGGAATGCCAACACAACTGCTGGCACAAACTTCTCCCTGTCCACCTAAGGCCCAGTGCTGCATTTGAGCTGATATGTGTATATGCTATGAGAGATGTACATCTTCATTCCCCGTGCTTCTGGGCAGGCTGCTGAGACTGCCCTACAAGGCTTATTTAACAGGATGGAATCTATAGGGCAAGGCAACAACTCCAAGTCTCGGCATGGGTAGGAGTATCAGCTGCTGCTGCTGAGGGGCAGAAGGTCATTTTGGAAAAGGATACAGACAATAAAACTGAAACGTATTTGTGTTTATTGTTTCTGTTCATCTTTAGAGGTCAAAGGCAACAGCACAGATAAAGGACTTGCCATAGAACCTCACTTCATGCCATACATTCAACAAAAAACATCCTTCCACACCAAACTCACTGCTGCTGAGAAGAGAACTGTCCCCGACGTTGCTGGGGCTACTGATCTTTACAGAAGCAAACTGCCTCTTGCTCCCGTCAAGTCACTGGTGGGTTTGAATTGGTAAACCCAAATGTTTACCACACTACACCACCTGGGCTCATTTAAAACCAAAAAACTCACTGCCATCAAGTCAGTTCTACCTCAGTCACCCTGAACAACAGAGTGGAACTGTCCCTGTGAGTTCCCAGGAGTGCTGTAAATATTTATGGGAGTAGAAAGCCTCCTCTTTCTCCCACAGAGTAGATGATGGATTCAAACTGCTGGCTTTGCAGTTAGCAGCCAAACTTGTAACCCAATACACCACCAGAGTTGTTTTATAGAGGCTCCTTTAGAGAACCCCCATCCTTTGAGTTTGGGTCTTTAACTTTCCGCTTTAGGTTTAAATGTAATTTGAAAACAAGCCTGGCCTTGTACTTTTCAATCAAAACCCCTGATGAAAGAATGTGAGTTTTAGGTGCTTTCCAGATCAACATCCAAAGTAATCACAGACTATAACATTAGATAAAAAATAAGCATTTGACTAAAACATGCACTTTTGTTTTGGGGTGGGTCTCATAGAAAAATTCTATGAAAAACCAGGATCAATCCAATCAAGTACCTTTTCAGAGTTTTCTGAAGTTGGGGGCAAACGCATAGGAACATACACAGTCGACTTTAAAGCAAATCTGTAACTTGGGGGGGGGGGGCGGCGGATACAAAATGCTTTGAGAGTGATACGAATTCCACAGTAACCGTAAATACTTTCTGGAAATTGGCTAATTTCTCTGAATCGGCTGACAGGTGTGGCTAAGAGAATTTCCATGAAAACTTTTATTACCCTTCACCCTTCCAGAGGCCTTAGTCTTATTTCAAAACAGAACTTCAGTCAGAGTGCTAAGGTCCAGGGCTCCTTTGGTTGGTATCATCCACTCAGGGAGCAAGATCCTGGCAAAGGCTTGGGGCACGTAGGCACATCATGGGGCAAGTTCTAATGGGGTTCCAATATTATAGAGAGTTTTAGAAGATATTTGAAATTTTTGCCCCTAATCAAGGAAAAGGGTTTTGTCATCTGTTTTATGGTCAAGACCTAGCTGGCTCATTATTCTCAGAAATAAACATTTTCCTGGGTTAGGAAATTTCATCATGAGACTTGAGATAGACTGGTTTGGAAAGCTTCCTCAGTTTCTCTTGGCTTTGAAGTCCTCGACCTCGCAGTGGAGTAAGGCCCATTGGAGGTAGATGAATCTGAATAATAATAAGAAAAATAATATTAATAATTATGACCATAATCACAGTAGCAGCTTACATTCACTGTAGATTTACTAAATTCCAGGCTCCTTGCTAAGTACTAAACCTATATAGACTCATTAGTCCTTATACCTTATTGCTTGTAATAATCTCAGAGAATCACTATTCTGATTTTTGTACATGAGAAAATGGAGGCTCAGAGTTCAAACACATGCCCGAGGATATATATTAAGTCAGAAGTTGTCAACCTTCCTGATGCCGCGACCCTTGAATACAGTTCCTCATGTGGTGGGGACCCCCAACCATAAAATTATTTTCGTTGCTACTTCATAATTGTAATTTTGCTACTGTTATGAATTGTCATGTAAATATCTGATAGGCAGGATGTATTTTCATTGTTACAAATTGAACATAATGATAGCACAGTGATCAGTCACCAAAACATGTAATTCTATATTGTGAAATATTTATTTCTAATGACAAATAAATGAAATTTTGTCTTGAAACATGGTGTAGCATGGATAACAGTCTTCACGCCAGGTCCTCCTATGTGAGCATATGTGCTTGTGGGCGGACCCGCCTGGAGACAGACAGAGGAGTGGTTCCTGAGACCGTCGGAAATATGTTTTCTGATGGTCTTAGGCGACCCCTGTGAAAGGGTCGCTCGACCCCCAAAGAGGTGCGACCCACAGGTTGGGAACCACTGTATTAAGTGGTGGAGCCAAGAGGTGAATTTAGATCTCTCTGATTCCAGCACTTATTCTTTTCTTTGCTTGCAGGAGTTAAAAATTACCACAGATAACAATGGGATTCCAAAGATAGGGGATGTTATGTGTTGAATTGTATCCCTTAAAAAGACAATTGAAAGAAGAACCCCCTGTGAATGTGACTTTCTTTGGAAATAGGGTCTTTAAAGATGCTAGCAGTTATGAGTTCCTAAGAGACTAGGGAGGTTCTAAGCCAATCTGAGTGTTGTTCTTTTTTTTTTTTTAATTTTTTTTCTGAGTGTTGTTCTTATGAATGAGGAGATATGCAGGGAAAATGTCCATGGGGTTACTTGTGCTGGAAGCTAAGGCACACCTAGGGCAAAGGAAGCTGAGAGACACAAGAAAGGAACTTCCCCAGAGCCTTCAGCAAGCAAGCCCTGTCTCCTTGATTCCCAGAACTGTGGGAGAATACACTTCTGTTGTTTACAGCCTCCCACTTTGGAGGACTTCGTTACAGCGGCCATAGTAAACTTACAGCACTTGTTCACTCCCTGCCATTGAGTTGATTCTGGCTCATAATAAACCTGGAGGGCAGAGTAGAACTGCCCCTGTGGGTTTCGGAGCCTGTAAATCATTAAGGCCGTAGAAAGCTGGTAGAAAGCAGCCAACTCGTAACCCACTAGGGTCCCTAGGAGATGAATACTGTTACTGTGGTTGGGTGTCCTCAGTTAGTGCCAACTCGTAGTGTTCCTATATCCTAAAAGGGAGGGATGGTATATGCCACAGAACAAAACACTCTCCAGTCCTGTGCCATCCACATAATGGTTATTTTAGCTCATTATCCCAGCTACTGTGTCAATCTATTCCCTATATTAGAAAACTAATATTTCTCTGCCACTGAGTTGATGCTGACTCACAGTAACACTACAAGACAGAGTAGAAGTGCCTCTGGGTTTCTGAGACCGTGAATCTTTACAGGATCAGAAAGCTTTATCTTTCTCCCAGAGAGCAGCTTGTGGGTGTAAAACTGCTGACTTTGTCATTAGCACCTCAATGCATATAGTCCATGTGTGTGTGTGTGAAAACATGTTCAGTACAGAGTAGAAAAGCGAAAGCAACATTAATGCCATTAATTAACATTAATAGAGAACCCAAGGAGCTCAGGTGGTACTGTCAGGTAAGCACTGGACTTGCTAACCTCAAAGTCAGTGGTTCACACCCCTTAGCTCCTGCTTGTAAGAAAGATGAGGCTGCTTTAGGTAGGACCTTATACAGGGTTTCTGAGGCTGCCTCGGGTAAGTGGGTTAAGGGATGGCAGGTACATTGAGGGAACTGAAATTAATGACTTGCATAATTTGTTGAATGGAAAACCCAGGATCTGCTCTGTAAACCTTCACCTAAATCACAATGGAAAAAAAAAAGTCTGCCAATTTTCACTTTCACCTTTATGTGTTTACTATTTATTACAAGCCTATCTTTTATAATAAGGAAAATTAGAACACCCCCACCCCCATCCCCAAAAAAACAAAGGTTAAAAGAGGAAGCTGTTTGTTCTGTTATGTGGGAAAGTTGTCCAAGTAGCAAAAGCCAGGCATCCACTGGCACCTTTGTTTGCTGCAATGCAAACAACTTTTTACAACGTGCCTTCTATAGTAACTTTAGGTTTCTCAGCGAGCACGAGCCATCTCTATACACATGTTGGAAATAACCAGGTTAACAAAGATTCCTACCCGCCACATTCTAAGTGGAGTCACACTTACTGGCCTTGGATAAGGAATCTGGTAATGCAATCCAATTTCAATCCTGGCTGTGCACTCATCTATACACTGTTTAATCAAGTCTGGGTCTGTAAGCTGAAACAGGAGAAAACAGGTGAGAGTGACAGTACTTTTCTAATGCTAAATAAAATGTTGTATATGGAGGGTTAAAATATTTTGAAATTGCATGGCCTTTTCCTTCCATTTTCCATGGACTTTTGTGAAGCCGCCTGCTAAGTTTCCCTCTTATCTCATCCTTTCCTTACCCTTCACACAGACAACAATCGGCAGCAGTTTCTTCTGCCCTGCCAAGGATACTCTGCGTGTCTAAACATATATACACGGATAGACTTGGCTGTTTTTCCTTACACTGATGATAGCCTACTATGTTCAGAACCTTGCTTGTTCATGAACAAAATAACTTGGAGATCTTTATGTAGTCGTACATATAAATCTGTGTTCTTTTTAATAGCAACACAAAACTCCAATGTAAGGATGCACTATAATGTATTCAAGAAATTCCCAACAGATGGACATGTAGGCCATTCACAATCTTTTGCCATTACAAACAATTTGGTTATAGATCCCTATAAAAATGTTTTTGTGCTCATTTGCTAGTGTCTAAAAGATAAATTACTAAAGAGATCTGCTGGTTCAAAGCATGTATATTTATGCATTTTTATTTCTGACTGATAGTCCCAAATCACCATCTAGAGGTTGTATTAATACTCTCACCAACAATGGATCATGTTTTTGCTTACTAACACAGTGTAAGAGTGCTTCTTCTAGACGAGCCAGTCAGGGTGCAATGTAGCAACGATGAAGCATGCAACTTTCCTCTAGTTCCTAAATGCTTCCTCCTCCCCTCCCCCCGACCATCATGATCCAAATTCTACCTTACAAATCTGGCTAGACCAGAGGATGTACACTGGTACAGATGGGAACTGGAAACACAGGGAATCCAGGACAGGTGATCCCTTCAGGACCAGTGGTATGAGTGACGATACTGGGAGGTGGAGGGAAGGTGGGTTGGAAAGGGGGAACTGATTACAAGGATCTATATATAGCCTCCTCCGAGGCACAGACAACAGAAAAGTGGGTGAAGGGAGATGTCGGATAGTGCAAACTATGACAAAATAATTTGTAAATTATCAAGGGTTCATGAGGGAGGGGAAAAAATGAGCTGATGCCAGGAGCTTGGGTGGAGAGCGGATGTTTTAAGAATGATGAGGGCAATGAATGTACAAACGTGCTCTACACAATTGATGTATGTATGGATTGTGATAAGAGTTGTATGAGCCCCTAATAAAACGATTAAAAAAAAGGAGTGCTTCTTCATGCTGATTCAATTTTAAAGTAACCCCATTATTTTAGTACATGCGGTCTGGAGCCCCCTGAATAAGACATCAAGAATGCTCTGCCTCTCATTGTGAACTACAGACTGCATGGTTCCTTGTTAAGGCAAAGAAGGGGCTTTTGAAATTCCAAACTAGTCAAACCACAGAGGTCCAGCTTCAAGTAAAGGGATGAAAAGTTCCTGGTGAAAAACTGAAAGCCAGGTAGGCAAAGGGAGAGAAGCCAGGGAGAGAAATGAGTCAACAAGTGGCTCTTCATAGGGTGGCAAGTGAGCCTTGAAACAGAGCTAGGATTGCATCAGCCCAGATGACACCAGTAATAAAGTCTGGGTCTCCGTGTCTTGGAAATTCCGGAGAAAGAGTTCCAGGAACAGCCATGCACACAACAAGAGTTGAGTCCCTTGGGGCAAAGGCTCGGCTTTCTGACCTCTGGCTTCTCAGAAGCTGTTTAGCTCTTGTCCACCTTGGGAATACAGTTGCGTGTTCACAATGGCCCACTGGGATTCAGAGGAATTCATGACCGATCTCTGTGTTATTAAGCTCTAACAGTGAGTGAGGTGATGAGAATATACCATGTCTGGATGGGGGCCTGGGAAGAAAGGAAAAGCCCCTGATAAAGAGATGGTTCAGGAGACTGTTCTGGTTGGGGGTGGGGCAGGACAGGGTCTCCAGCTTGCCATCTGAACAAACTTTGGCTAAGAGCTCTCTGAATTCCATCATTCATGGATTGCTTACAAGTGTCTTCCATATCTACATATGGCCTACACTAACATTAATATTTTTCTTTATGTAATTCTCTTAAACAATAGTATTTATGAAATTGTGGTCTGGTGTTCTATTTTCTTGCTAATATGCAATAAAACAAGGCTATATCTTTTTTTTAAAACAAGGCTATATCTTAATGTGAAATTAACACCTTATACCATCCCACTCCAAATAATTTCACATACTATCAGTGATATTACTGTTCAGTAAGTCAAATCAATTCTTGAGATGTCCTTTTTAAAAAAATCATTTTATTGGGGGCTCTTCCAGTTCTTATAACATTTCTACATCAATTGTATCAAGCATATTTGCACATAACGTTGCCATCATCATTTCCAAAACATTTTCTACTTGAGCCTTGGTAGAAGCTCGTTTTCCTCCCTGGCCCTTGTGAATCCTTGATCAATTATATATTGTTATTATTATTTCATATATTACACTGTCCATTGTCTCCCTTCACCCACATTTCTGTTATTCATCCCCTTTTGGGGGGGGGCTATATATTCAACCTTGTGATGGGTTCCCCTTTTATTCCCCCTTTCCCTTCCCCGACCATTCCCCTACCCTCATGGTATCACTACTTCCACTACTGTTCCTTAGGGGTTTATCTGTCCTGAATTCCATGTGTCAAGAGCTCTTATCTGTACAATGTGTGTTCTCCAGTCTAGCCAGATTTGTAAGGTAGAACTGGGTCATGGTGGTAGGGGGAGGAAGCATTCAGGAACTAGAGGAATGATGTATGATTAGTCCGTGCTCTACTGCACCTTGGTTGAATCATCCCTTCCTTATAACCCTTCTGTGGGGGGGATATCCAATTGTCTACAGATGGGCATTGGGTCTCCCCTCCAACCTCCCTCATTCACATCGATATAGTTGTTTGTTTTGGATCTTTTGATACATGATACCTGATCACATCGACAACTCAAGATCACACAGGCTGGTATGCTTCTTCCACATGGGCTTATTTGCTTCCCTGCTGGATGGCTGCTTGTTTAACTTCAGTCTTTATGACCCCAGATGCTATATCTTTTGCTAGCTGGGCACCATCTGCTCTCTTCACCACATTTGCTTATGCACCAATTTTGTCTTCAGTGATCATGTCGGGAAGGCGAATATCAAAGAGTGTCAGGTTATCAGAACCAAGTGTTCTTGCATTAAGGGAGGCCTTGAGTAGAGAACCAAAGTCCCTAAGCTATCTTAATACTTAACATATAAATATATGTACATTTGCCTCTATCCCTTTCATTATAAATTTATATATACATATATACACACACACACACACACACACACACACATACATGCCTATGGCTATAGCTCTATAAGTAGCATTTGCCTCCTATTTCTTTCCTCCCTTTCCTTTCACTTTTCTCCTGTCCCACTATAATGTTCACCCTCCATTCAGCTCTCAGTAATTCTTCTTGGATATACTGCACTTGATTAAAACCCACCAGGCATTATACAACCTCCTCGCCATCAATTTTAGATCTCTTGTTGTTCCCTTATTACTTGAGAGGTTCTTGAATTTCAGGTGGAATGAGATCATATTTTGGCTCTTATGGGCTTGTTTTAAATTTCTTCAACTTGCATAGGAGTAATTGTAATTGTAATTTTCAGAAGAGGATGTGGAACAAGGGATATCATTGCTGATGACAGATGGATCTTGGCTCAAAGTAGAGAATACCAGAAAAATGTTTACTTGTGTTTTAATTATTATGCAAAGGCATCTGACTGAGCCATAGTTGGTTGATCATAACCAACTACTGATGACTTTGAGAATAGGAATTTAAGAACATTTCATTGTGCTCACGTAGAACCTGTGGATCAAAAAAGCGTTGTTTGAACAGAATAAGGGAATACTGGGTGGTTTAAAATCAAGGAAAGTGTGTCAAGGTTGTATCCTTTCAGTATACCATACTTATTCTATGTGTATTCTGAGTAAATAATCAGAGAAGGAGGACTATCTATATGAAGAAGAATTTGGCATCAGGGTTGTAGGAAAGCTTATTGATAACCTGTGGTATGCAGATAAAACAACTGCTGAAAGTGAGGAGAAATTAAAGCACTTGCTTTTGAAGCTCAAGGATTGCGGCTTTCCACATGGATTGTAACTCAATGTAAAGAAAACAAAAATCTTCACAGGTGCACAAGTAGGTAACATCATTATAAACAGAAAAGACTGAAATTGTCATGGACTTTTTCTTGCCTAAACCATATTCAATGCTTATGGAAGCAACAGTCAAGAAATCAAACTACAGACTGCATTGGGAAAAGCTGCACAAAGACCTCTTTAAAGTGTTAAATAGCAAAGATGTCACTGAGGCCTAAGGAGCACGAGCTCATTTTCAGTCGTTTCATATGCATGCGGAAGCTGGGCATTCAGCAAGGAAGACCGAAGAATCCATGCATTTCTATTGTGGTGTTGCCTGAAAGCACCATGGGCTGCCAAAAGAACAATCTATCTTGGAAGTACAGCCAGAATGCTCCTTAGAAGCGAGGATGGGGAGACTTCCTCTCATGTACTTTGGACATATCAGGACTGACCAGTCCCTGACAGACTTCATGCTTGGCAAAGTAGAGGGGCAGTGAAAAAGAGGAAGACCCTTGAGAAGATGGATTGATGGCTGCAACAATGGGCTCAAACGTAGCAGTGACTGTGAGGGTGGCACGGGGCTGGGTAGTTTTTGTTTCATTGTCTATGGGGTTGCTATGAGTTGGGACACACTTGATGGCACCTAACAACAGCAACAACAACAACATCAGCGGCATACACCCCCCCACCCCCACTAGCGCACAGAAATTTGGGCCAATACAAGCAGGAGCAACTGTGTGATAACTGCAATAACTGAAAGCCTAAAGAGTCTCAATAATTCTCGGGTGAGTGAGCTTACAAAGGTTTCTTAGACACTTACTATGATATTCCCAATATCAGGCTGGACCTGGGGCCTTCGTCCCTGCCTTCAATTGTTGAGGCTATTACCTGGCGCATGAAGCTATAGAAAAGGTAGGGTGGGATCAGTGGCTGGTACAGACTGTTGAGATGTATTATCTCTCATAGAAGTGGGGTTGGAAGGAGGCAGCAACATTGAGATAGAGCAGGTCATTCTAAGCAAAGTATTTATAATGCGCATTAATTTATTGTCAACTTCTGGGAAGGTCCCACAGGACAAATGAGAGAAGTACAAGGCATTATCAATGTGTTCAAGTAGTTCATAACCAAGTTAAGAGATTCCAAACAACTCCAAACTTACTGCCATAAAGTCAACTCTTACTCATAGTGACAATGTAGGACAGAGTAGAACTGCCCCTGTGGGTTTCTGAGACTGTCTATAAATCCCATCTTCCCCCTGGAAAACAGCTGGTGGTTTCAAACTATTGACTTTGCACTTAGAAGCCCAAGGCACAACCCACTATTCCAATAGGGTTCCTTAGTTAAGAGACCAGGCCAACATAAATGAAACAGATTAAGAAAAAAAAAAAAGACAATATGACCAACTACTTCGAAGTGGGTAAGAGGTAAATGTCTGACTGCTAACTGCAAGGTCAGCAGTTCAAAACCACCAACTGCTCTGTAGGGGAAAAAAACCAAGGCTGTCTGCTCCCTAAAGATTTGCAGCCTTAGAAGCTACATAGGGTCTTGATGAGTCAGAATTGACTCAGTGGCAATGTTTGGGGTCTCTCTTGGGGGGTTGTGGGTCAGCAAGGAACCCTAGTGATAAGAGTGGGGTTAAGCATGTGTCCTGCTAATAAACAGGTTGGCAGTTGTAACGCACCACCAACTTCATGAGAGAAAGATGAAGTGATGTGCTTCCATTAAAATTCACAGCCTTGGAAACCCTGTGGGGCAGTTCTACTCTGTCCTGTCGGGCCACTCTTCGTCAGAATCCACTGGACCTGGAGTGAGGTTTTGGTTTAGGTCAGTGGCTTCCAAACTTGGTGACGACCTGCTCCTTTCAATAAAACATTTGCACCCACTTATGCATTTACACTCATTTAGAAATGTGTTATCTATATATACTAATAAATACATACAAAATCTATTTTAAAGGATGAAATAACAATGAAAAGAAATAACAGTGTAATATTTTCTTTCCATTCCTCAAGGGATTGTTGAAGGATCTCATGGGCATACATACACACTGGTTGGGTATGAACCGGTTATGTTAAGAAGAGAGAATGTGTGGAGAAGCTGGAAGGGGTGCCAGGGACAGAAAGAAGTTTCAGGAGCAGACAGGCTTTAACAAGCAGGGAGGTTTCAGGGATACAGAGAAGAAAAAGAAGGGAAGGGAGACGAGAAGTATCTTTTGTACTTCTTGTTCTGAATGTGATTTTGCATTTATTTCCATCTACATTTGAAGCAGGGAGCCCCGATAGTGCAGCAGTTCCACATTTGACTACTGTGGGAGGTAGGCTTTGGGTTAACATGGCTGGACCAGGATTCTCAGTGGTTTGGCGGTAAGATACTGTAGTCCCCCTGTGATGAGATTTCCTTGAGGCTATAGTTGATTTGGGGGAACAGTGGTGTGAGAGTTAGGTTTAATGTGGCAACCTGGTCAATAAGAACATGTTTGTCTTGGTCTGTGGTAGTTACAAAATTTCACATCAATTTGTTAAATCAGTCTTAGGGGTGGAATCTAGCCTGTCAATCATGTCCTAGACAATCATGCCTCTGTGTGGCATGGCCTTCTCCTGAGGATTCTGGGAACTCCTGTCTTCCTCCCTGGATGTGGGATACACACTCTCTCTCTGCTTCATCTGCCTGCTGACGAAGCACATGGAGCCACACTGATGGTATCACAGCCCTGGAGCTGGAGGAACCACATGGAAACCCACACCAGTGCTGAGATGCTTCCACTGCCACTGGATCCACAATACTTTCCACCCATTGGCCTGTGATCATTGCATGTGGTGCGTGCATCTGAGGAGGAATTTATAGGCTGGTATTGGACTTATGGACTTGATCTGGCCTGGCTGGGATGTTTTCTCAATACACAATTACTCTTTATATAAAGCTCTTTCTTATACACATGATTGTCTATGAATTTGTTTCTCTAGTCCACCTGGGACTAACACAAGTGAAGCTGTGGAAAAACTTGCTTTTTGCTGGGTCTAGATCCTGCATCTGGCTCATCATCTCTCCTCTGGCACTTTGGATTTGAGCCAGGAGACTGATGAATTCCTTACTAACCCTGGGAGTTGTCAGAAGCTTGCCATTTTGGCAACCTTGCTATCTACTAACCTTGGATTCAATTTCCTAGAGGCAGAAGCCTGCTGTCTGACTTGCCAATCTTGGGTTCACAGCCCTTGCAGCTCCATGAGTCAGGAAAAGCCTCCACTCTGACAACTGACCCACAGACTATGAACTTGCCAACCTCTACAACAATGTGAACCATTTCCTTGATTAAAAAAAACTCACATTAAATACTTATAAAAATTCGCCTGGTTTTGCTTCTCTAGAGAACACAGCCTAAAACAGCTACTAACAAAAAAGGCTAGAAGTTCCAACCCACTCAGTGGCTATGTGGGAGAAAAGACCTGGTATTCTGCTCTTGTAAAGACTGTTGCTGTTGTTGTTGTTGTTAGGTGCCATCCAGCTGCCTCCCATTCAGTGACGCTATGTACAACAGAATAAAACACCGCCTGGTCCGGCGATAATTATTACAATGCTGTTAAGTGTGAGCCGATTATCAACCACTGTGTGAGCCGTCTTGTTGAGGGTCTTTCTCTTCTTTGCTGACCCGCTACTTTACCAAGCAGGTGGTCTTGGTCTCTCCTGAGAACATGTTCAAAATACATCAGAAGTCGTCCAGCTATGCTCACTTCTAAGGCACATTCTGGCTGTACTTCCTCCCACATAGACTTGTTTGTGCTTCTGGCAGTCCATGGTACTTTCAATAGTCTTCCCCAGCACCGAAATACAAATGCATCCCCATCGAGACTACAGGCCTAGGAGACCCTATGGGGCAGTTCTATTTTGCCCTATAGAGTCCCCGTGAGTTGGGATTGACTCGAAAGCACACATCAGTCACCTCTGAAACACTTTTGAGGGACCCTGTCTTGGTTTTTAAAGAGCCGCGGTGGCACTGTTGGGCAAGCACTGGACTGCTAACCACACAGTCCACAGTTTAAACCCACCAGCCATTCTAAGGGAGAAAGTTGGCACTATCCTCTCCTATAAAAACTTCCATTCTCAGAAACCCTATACAGGGTCGCTGTGAGTCAGAACTGTGGGTCTTGCTTATTTTTATATTGCCAATGTCTAGTTCAGTGTTTGGCATATGGGCACTCAAACACATGCTGAATTGAACGAATGAGAGTAATGACGCATAGGTGGTTACGAAACTATGACAGAAATAGGCAAGCTGGGAAGGGGGGTGTCTATTTGCAGGAAAATGTTTGTGGTGAGATGTCAGGTAGCTGGTGAGAAACTGAGGCTGGAGATTCAGGTAAGAGAGGTGAAACCAGAAGGTGGCTGCTTCTTCTGCAGGCCTCAATGAAGAAGGCTGACCTTCCCAGGACTGTCCAGCTGGCTGGATGGTGGGAGGTACATTTGTGCCGAAAAAGACACACACAGTAGTCAGAGAGGAAGACAAGTCAAGAGAGCAGACTGTCAGGAAGTTTCCTGAGAGAAACAGTGACGGCACTGAACCCATTTGATCAATGAGAAGGAGGATGAAGAAAGGTCAGGAGTCGAGAGCCTCGTGCCATATTTGGTGCCAGTCTTTCTAACGTGCTAATAGCTAGTGCTTGGTGGTTTCTTGGGATGGGTCCAATTAGTCTCTTAGAAATGGCTTCTCACCCCCTGATCTCTGGGTGTGGTGTTCAGTTAAACGAACTAATGGTGGCACTATTTTACCCAATTCTCTGGCCCCAAAGGGCAGACGCTCGGCAAGCCAACCAGGCTAGAGTTCAAAGCTACATTCTGAAGCGAACTCTGTGTCTCGATCTTATTCTCTTCTCACTGAATGGGAATATAAATGGAGGCTTTTTAATAGTTTATGAATTTTAAAAACAAACCAAAACTGAATTGTGCACCTCCTTGGGAGTGGCCAGCAAAAGGCCCCCTGGGTGAGGAATAGCTCGCCGGGCCTCTGAACACTGGTCTGGTGGTCAATGGGCTCATGGAGTCTTCATAGGGCACTGAGCCACTTACCAGCTGGCCTGAGCTCTGGAGCCCATGAAGGGAGAAACACCGACGGGCTCTCTTTTGCAATGGCTGTGCAAGCTAGCTAAACTGGGCCTCTGGCCCTCCGTGGGCCACTCTCACTGGGGTGGTTCAGTCTTCTCATTTTTGAGGACAGCAAAGAAATGAACAAACCCCACAAGAAACTGCTCCCCTTCTTACAAGGTTGGACTGGGGCCTACTTACATTTTTGTTTTTCTGGAACAGGGTTCTGGCTTCGTGTATTATGTACTGTTTTTCTTTAATGGTGTCTTCCATCTGCCCTGATGCTGCCTGCCATTTCCTCGTGAGCCTGAAAATCCTGCGGTAGAGGCCCAGGACTTCTTGCCGTGTTGCCGTTGTCATCTTCAGACCTACCAGAATACAAGAGGGACATTTGCAGAAAATTTCCATTGACGGTAGGCAGCTAGGCAGATGTACATTAAAAAGCAAATCAAGCTCTTTAATTAGTCTAGAAAGAATTGCTCTTTCTTAACAGATCTGTTTGGTAGTGTTGCCAGAGCGGAGTAGGAGAAACACCAGCTATCTCTCAACTAGCTACGTTTTCCTCCTGAGGCCAAAGATTGCTTCACCTGCTGTTTGCCATGACAGCCAATTTTACAGACATGGCAAAATGAAAATTCACACCACTGTTCTTTGAGCTTTTATTGGAATACCTTAGAATTGGTGGTTTCATGCATATGCTAAGATACCTCATCACTAACCTGAGATCTTAGAAGGTACCTTCTGGATAACTGAATTTCTGTTAAGTGAGAATTGGAATTTCAGGCACACTCAAGGCAGGCAGCACACGTGAGCCCACTTGGCGAGGTGAGGACAGTGGTCAGTTGGAGAACACCGGCTCCCTTGAAAGGGAGCAGTTGCTCTTCAGCTCGTCTGTGGTTGCCCTGTGCCAACGCCGAGGGATAGCAGATTTCCTGATCGTTTGAGAACAAGGGGCAAGGAAGGATTTTTTAAAACGAGTAATCTCCTGCTGTTGCATGAGGCTGAGTTGATTCCAATCCACAGTCACAACATCTGACGGAGTAGAACTTCCCCAGAGGATTTTGCAGCCTGTAATCTTTACGGGAATAGATTTACCATGTCTTTTCTCCTGAAAAACCAGGGATGGGTTCAAACCACTGGCCTCTTGGTTAGTAGCCCAGCCCTTAAACAAAGTGGCACCAGGGCTCCTTTTAAGAAACAGGGCAAGATATGACAAAATAACAATTTATAAACTATCAAGGGCTCATGAGGGAGGGGGAGCAGGGAGGGAGGGGAAAAATGAG